TACGGAGACAATACAGTGGAAGTCAGCACAGTGAGGCGGTGGGTAGTGCGTTTCAACAGTGGCGAAAGTGAAGTGCACGACAAGCCACGCCCTGGGCATCCTTGCTCAGCTGCCACTCCTCACAATGAACAGCGCCTCATCCATACAGATCAGCAGATAACCACCAGGGACTGTCAATTGTGAACGCTACAAAACGACGCTGACCTNCTTGAAAATTCACAAAATGGTCCATGTTCTTAACAGTAACAATAAGAAGAATGGTGCCCTGAGAAAATGTCGCGTGAGTGCTAAGCACAAGGTTAGAAAAGAAACAAGTATCATGTCTGCAGGCTGTGGTGTGGCTCTCTGCAAACTTTCATGTTACAATGTTTATCACACGAAGAAAAACTAATAAAGAGGTGTGGAAAAGCATTTATTGCATAAAATATTGTATTTTATTAGTTCCTAAAAATTTCGTTTTTAAAAACCAATATTTGTTGAAGTTGTTTAGGAAAAAGTAACTACATGCATTTTAGCAGCATAAGGTTTAAAGGGCCTGCCAGGACAGGGGTGGGATTTAAATACCCTTCGCGCCAGTCAAAGAGTTAAATTTCATATTTAATTTCACTACATTTCCCTCCTCCTTGTGGATGTGTCAATATCAAACAATAAAAAATTACCAAATATTTTGGATGTTTCCATACAGAATGCATGCAAATGTTGTGATGAAGGTTTGGGTCATAATTACTCATGCTTATCACTTGGTCTGCGGTCTATACTTCTTACAGTGGTAATTTACAACAGTAGTAATACTGAGAAACAATGGTGTTATAAAACACGTTCCAATGCAAGTTCGTATGGCAACGACTATGAAGTTTATTGTCTTCACCCTTTTTTCTGAAATGTTGGTACATAATCTATCAAGCTACACTGCATCATATCACAGAAGGCAGCAATATTCATGGGCATGTTCCCTTTCTCAACTAATCAACTTCATTAACCAGTGAACAACTTATGATTTTTAGATATTACACTGTATAATAGTGTGACAATTAAGTTCCTGAACTGAGGACATAAAAATCATATAAAAAATATTAATACCATCACTCAATATTGTCCCCGCCCGCTTCCGCACAATGTTTACATCACTCATACAAAGAACTGAATGCCCAAGAAAATGCTTCTTCCCATAATGCCTTCAGTTTTCTCATCACAGTCTGCTGGAACGATTAAACAGACCGAATCTCCACCCTTTCATCGTAATTTTTAATTTAGAAAATAAAAAAAATCAGCTGGTGATAAATCAAGGGCGTAGGGTTGATGAGATAACACAGGGATCCCTCAATTGACCAAAAACTCGCAGACAACACCCAAAGAATGAGCCAGTACAATGTCATGCAGACGATACTAGGATCCACTTTCCTGAAACTCAGGCCTAACGCAATGAACTAATGAGATTAATTTTTTAATCGCCTCTTTATAAAATTTACCATTTACAATCTGTTTTTCTGGTACAAATACATGATGAATGATACCTTGAGCATAAAAAAATGCAGCCAACATTGTTTTCATCCATGATTCTTGCATTCTCACTTTCTGAGCTTTTGGTTTCTTTGGACTCAGTCAAGTTGCACTCTTGACATTCTGTTTCTGGACCATACATGAAACACCAACTTTCATCACCCATTACAATCATTTTTAAAACATTTCTATTATAAACAATCATTTCAACAAATTCAACAGATGATAAGGGGCGCTGATGTTTTTGATGTGGCATTAACAAATGAGGAACAAAATGGGCACACACACTTCATTCTTTTTCAAATCTTTGACTAATATCTTATGTACTGTCCCTCTGCTGTTCCCTCTTCTAACATCCAAACACTCAAAGTCTGATCTTTGGCCAAACACTTTTGAACGCCTTCCGTCGATTCTTCTGTTTTGGAAGCTGAAGGACAGTCTTTCCATTCATCTTCTTGTAACAACTCTCGCCTGTCTTTCAAACTTTTATACCATTCAGACACTCTTGTTCTCGATAAACATTCTTCTATATTATATTTATGCATCCTGTTGCACTATACACTTCTATATGTAATGATACAAATGCCGTCGTGAATGCAAAAAGTATTAAAGATGAGCAGCGACACACACACACAGGGAGCCTGCACAGAATAATACATGAACGGCACTGAAAACAAGAAATAGCTGCTGCAGCACATGTAGACAAGAGCAGGTGTCCCTGGTATTTAAAACTTTAAATTTTAAACTGGAATTCTAAAATCAAATTGACGAACGTGTGTTGGCGAGATTTTAAAACAAAATTGACAGGCTGATGTTTTAGATTTTTGGACTGTGTGCAGTGTGACAGCTACATAGTGAAAAATACACCTGATGATGGCCAATTATGGCTGAAACATGTAGTGTAGAGGAAGAAAAGACAGAAATCTATAATCAAATAAATTCTTGCATCCACGATGGCATTTGCATTATTACATATAGAAACATTCTTCGCTGTACTCACTTTTCACACATTTCAAGCGTTTCAGTACCTGTTTTCATTAATTTTACACAAAACTTAATTGTTGCTCTTTCTTCCATTCTGAGACCTTTGACACAATGAAAAAACTAACTTCAAAAAACAACTGTAATCCTCATATGCATCACCCAAACAGATTGAAACTTGCACATCATATAAACAAACGTTCTCTCTAACTAGTCCTGTTCATCCCTCACGTGGCATTAGTGGAGTTACCGTAATAGTGTTACTTCAAGAACTTTACTGTCACACTGTGTATAAATCAAAATTTTCTGTCCCTGTTTCGTGATCTCTGAAATAAAATTAATTTTCAGATTGGTTTGGACCTGAAAATTACAGAACAGATTCACTGATAATTTGATAACATTAACCATATTCAAACATCAATGAACCTAACAACAGATTATCTTATAAAGCACCTATCACATCCAAGGGTTATCTAAATAGCAAATTCTGATCTTTTGACATTTAAAAATGATACGATGTGAAAGAACACACATCCCATTTATATATTACTCTAGTTGCCAATTGGATTCTAAAGAAGCTTGGCCTCTTTGCATAGCCAATCAAAACAAAAATTAAAAATGAGTCAAAGTACTAATAAGATAACTGTATTGAAAAAGCACCATGTTTCCAGTGTCACCTCTAAGCACATGACAAACAACTAAATGGCTACTAATGCTGGCAGAATGCCCACACACAACAAAATAAGAAAGGTAATGAAATTATTTTTTCTCAGAACATCTAAACAGATAATTTTCTGAACTGCATGACTGAGTGTGTTTGATACATTAGTTCAGTAAGTCAGAAAACTGTATCATTTAAACTGTTTCCTTATAGAAGACATAACTTCATACTTAACTCTGAATAATGCAGTTACCTGATCAACATTTCTATCATCTATCTATCATTCCAATCAGTAAAATCACCATGAGAAAAAAATTAAGAATAAGAGGGAATAAGGATACATAGTAGATAAACAGAAACCCACATTTTCTCAATCCACATTAATTTTCTCTCCACAGTCAGAACAAATTTTACCAAGAATGTCTGAGTTTGGAGGACAAATAAAATTAGTTCTCAAGAACAGGTTTCAGTGTAAAAAAAGTAAAGGTATCCCTGTAGCAGGCCGTGGAGGCCCATAGGATTGTGAGATGTTGAGGTTCCCACGTTTTCTAGGCAATCGGCTCACAGATGGCAGCAAGGTAGTCAGCCATTCGCGCCAGCCGCCCTTTACCCCCCAAGAACATTCCAAGAAAAATCTTGGTACTCATTTCTGTTAGAGCCTGAGTCGACCCCAGGGCCATAGTGCAGCTGGAAGGATTTGGTCAATTGAAAAAATCCAATGACCTCATCAGGACTTGAACCCGTGACCTTCCGGCTTGTAGCATAGTGCCTCAACCAACTATGCTACTGCGTAATTTTAGCAAATATTCACCACAGAATGGTTTGCTATGTAACAACTGCAAAAATGTTGAAAACAAGAATTAATGAAATGATTACATTAATTTGCTCATGTAAGCAAACATTCATCTGATATATTTCTATTTAGAATAGTCTAAAATAAAGCGATGCTTTATCGCCTCTAATTTTTATTTCCAGTTCAGAATGTGACATTAGGAAAATCCAAGGCAGCTAGTGGATAGCTTACAATGACATGACGTTCATATGAAGTTATACGTAAATTGGGTAACTGGTTCATTAGTGCAGACAGAAACACACATACTGACATACTGTAACTTTCACAGCATTTTCTAATAAAAGTAAACAGACTAACAAAAATATATTATCCTGGTACTGATATAACATTATCACAGCTCAAAAGAAATTATTCTTGGGTTCATAACAGTATCCTTATCATGACTAGAAAGGAAAGGCTTGGATATTAAATCTTTGAAAGATATGTCACTTCTATTAACGCGTTTCAATGCTGGATCTAAGGCTATCATGGCGGTGCCCAAAAAAAGTATAGTCTTCTGGGTTGTAATGCCATGTAATTTAGAAAGAATGACATTTCAGTTTAACATATCACTTCCATCTTCTGGGTCTAAGGGTAAACAAAGGAAGAAATCAGCAAAGCAGGTGGAAAGCTGACTGGTTCTGCTGGTTTCTTTTTTGGCTTACTGTTCAACATTGACGATGGGGGTGATATATTTTTCTGAAACATCACATTAGCTTTCAGTCCATGTGGATAATAATTTACTGGGGAGAACGTAAATATGAAAAACACAGAAGTTCTAATAGATGCTGGTAAGGAAACTGGTCTAGAATTAAATACAGAGAAAAATAAACATTTGTTGAGAACTATCTCCTGGGATGTAAGGCTGTGAAGTCTGGCAGAAGTAAACTTTCACCAGACTAAAAAGTGTTACATCCCATAAGAGTGTACTCTTCTTAGCCAAGATGTGAGAATCTCAAATACAACAGAAGTATATGCTGACATCTTGTGACCGGAATGCAGGACAAATAATAACATAAAGATGGCTAACAGATGCTCTGAAAATCTGGCAAAGTCCAGACATTTGGGAATGATGTTAACAAATCAAAATTACATTAACAAAGAAATCAGGAGCAGATTAAATCTGGGGAATGCTTGATATTATTTAGTTTAGAACAATTTGTCTTTTTGCATGCCATCTAACAACATGAAGATTAAAATACACAAAATTATAATTCTGCCTGCCATTTTGTATGGGTGTGAAACTTCATCTCTCACATAAATGGAAGAACACATTCAGGGTGTCTGAGAACAAGGTGTTGTTATGAGAATAACTGTATGTAAGAAGGATGAAATAATGGAAGGATGGAGAAAACTGCATGGGGTTCTTCATAATTTGTTCTCCTCACCAATATTAGTAAAATGATCAAACAAAGGAGGATGAGACGGCCAGGACATACAGCATACGTTGGAGAGAAGAGTATGCAAAGTAATGACAGAAAAGCATGAAAGAAAGCACTAGGAACACCTGGACAAAGATGGGTGTGGAGTGGACTCATCTGGCTCAGGACTGGGATAGATGGAAGGCTCTTGTGAACATGGTAACGGACCTTTGGGTTCCATAAAATCCTTGAAATTTCTTTGGTGACTTCATTTTCAAGAAGAGCTCTACTCCATGGAGTTCTTTAGAGTGTACAATCTCTGAGATTGGAAAACCTTACACCTTTCAGTTCATATTCAACAATCAACAATTGTTTCCTGAATGATCATAGAGATTACTAGTCTCTTATTCTCAATGAAAACTTTGATTCACTCATATTAATAATTAATTAAAATAAATTGAACTGTACTCCTACACACTGTGCAATATTGTACTTGCATGCAACAGAAAATGGGCAAAAATCATAATTTAACCACCATTCCTTCTGACTATCTTCAGAAAAAGACGACAGGCATTTTATACACTAAATAATTTCCAAAAACATTAAACAATTGGTGCAATGTTAGAAATGTAACATGGTGGTGAAACATTGTCACAAAGCACAACCTGGTGAAGGTGAAATTTATTCACATCCAACCACAAGTATTCTCCACATTCTGGTTGCAGGTGCTCTAAGTATATAATATTAATATGCAGTGCTTGATTTAGAAGAAAAGATATTTAACACAGTTTACACACAGATCAGGTATAGGCCCAAGATTTAGGTCCGTTACCTGTAGAAAATAAATAAACAATATATCACTGCTGCATTTTAGCTTGCCTAAGACTCTTAGGTTCATTACTTATTGAACCATCATCTTGAATTTAGAATCCTAAATATCTGAAAAAATTATTTTAGATACATGAAATAATAGCAGAGCAAAACAGAAACAGCACAGCATTCTAACTCATCTGCCACACAGTATAAGCACTACCAAAATGCCAATGTGCATCATTTTCTTAATGAAGAATATCTTGCCATAAATTAGTGGCACCTTGGAATAAAAGACATTACTTCTGATAAATATCATTACAGATTTTTTATTTCTTTTATTCAATTGTGGAATTACTTTTTCACATACACTGCCCATGTATATCTTCTCATTAAAATAGATTCACATGCCTCACATTGCAATTGTAATGTTCAAATTATGTGTAAATTTATAATATACAATAAAGGTTTTCTCTGTCATTCGTGCAAAAGGGATTTTTTCTTCTGTTGGTTTCAAACAATATTTAAACATTCCAAAGGGTTTTATATGTACTGTGAATTTAAAGAAAGCTGTAAATTGTTGGTTGATGAAATTTAAATCACCAACCTACACAGACAGTCATGCACAAACTCTTTGAAATAAACCACCTCGCACGAATAAAACCTTTAGGTCTCCAAAAATGTTTAAACTGAATCTATTGCATAACTTCCTTTGATACCTCAAGGTTATTTGATTACCAGTGATCTGCTACAATTGCTGTAACTAGTGCATTTAAGGGAAAACTGTAAATAAGCATACTCTACTAGTGCTTGATATCCCTGGATTTATTGTTTACATATACCTTGCATTAAATATTAACTTCCTATCTGTCATAGTCACAGACCTCCCCCCTATGTGTGTGCGTGCATGGGCGCGTGTACACATGCATGCACATATACATGAGAATGGATCTTTGAATGCAGCCTATCAGTGGTAGAATTTCCAGTCCTTAAGGATCACAATTTTATTAGGTAGCATTCAACATTCCTGGGGTTTCATTCTGAAGCACATTATTGATTTCAATTGACCTATCAATGTCAATGTCATGTCTATATTTTTAAGTGTCTACATTTTAAACACTCAAATACCAACATCATACTGCTCTCACTTCACACCTTACAAAAAGCAGCATTACATTACTACAGGGCAAAAGCACAGCATAAAAAATAGAAGTTGTATTTAAACAGCAAATTTACAGCTTCTGAAAGAAGGCAGCCAAATCTATTACCTTGCTCAGGCTCCAAAGAGTATAGTGAGGTGAAAGGATGCTTCAGAAGAAAATCAGAAGTGTCCAAGTAACTTCAATATTTTATTTTCCAGAAGAAGTTAGGTAACATTAACCACCTATTTCAGCATTAAAGCAAAGGCAATATTATTCTTCATGTCACGTGCAACATGATGTAATTTCTACCATATCAAATGTACTAATGAATTTTCACACCATTTTCTTTATTTATTTTATACCAGTATTTCAGAAACTGTGCAGCACACCCACTGCAAGACCTGAGGATACAAGGAGGTTAGCATATGAAAAATGAAAATATAAGTAATGTACAAAGTTTTCAAGTACAACATATAATAACATGCTTTGGGTCAGAGTATAATGGCTATATTAGTGACTTTAATGCCTTCTGAAAACAATAAACTAGGGCTGGACAAACACCAATCATCAGAGAAAAATGAAATGTTACTGCTGAGTATTTACAGAAAGTGTCCCAATATATAAACTCTTCATTTTCAGGCACTCTTTGTAATATATATATTTTATATTAATTTCCTGAAAATTTATGTTCTGCATAACCTCTTTCAGTCTCTATAGGTCTCTAACTCACTCTGTGTCTAAATACTTACCAGCTTTGATACGTGATTTTCTCTTCCCTCACCATATCTCCTAGTTGCTCAGACCACCACTCATGGGCGGTTTTATTTATTTTTCTTTCTTCTTTCCCAAGTGTTTTTGATGCTGCTTCACGTGTCTTTGACTCTAAATAATCATATAACTTTTGTATGGAACCTCTAAACACTTCATCACTTTTCTTGTATGTA